ATATATATATATACACACACACACACACACACACACACACATACACACACACACACACACATATAACTTGGCACATTTAAAAACCATCTTTTCTCTTATAAGAACATCTAAAATGTATATGCATATGTATGTCTGAGAAGACAAAGCAAAGCTTTTTGAATTTTACTTGTAAAGAGATGGTATGGTCTGTTCATTTCTGGTCAAGAGACTGGGAGGGAAGGAGACCCTGGATGAAGTCATTCAGAAAGGTAGAAGGGGATGGAAGGATGGTGAGGAGACAGACATGGGAAACCACACAACTAGGAAAGGAGAGTAGTGTTTCCATCACCTGCGAAAAGCACTCTGACAGCGCACACTGCTCAATAGCTTTGCAGTGAGTTTCACCAGAGGAGAAATTTAGAGTTTTTATGTAGTTTAAAAAAATTTGTTTTTTTTGTTTTTTGAAGTGACTCTTCTTTTTGCACAGCACAGCAGACACAGGAAGAGAAGCAGCATGTGTGCTGGCGGGGGCTTGGCTGTCTCAGTAGGAAAAACAGGTTCAGCAAGGTTATGAAGGGTAAAACAAAAATAATTACAAATACTGCCCTTTTGACCCCATAGGGGCCTCCCCTAGCCCATGACTCTGTTGACTCTGTTTTAGGGAGCAGAGGTGGGAGAGCGGCAGCAGTTCCAAGGGCTCTGAGCAGTCAGTTCATGTTCTATCACTTTAACCTGGCTGGGCAAGGAGGAGAGAGAACTTCCCTGGTCCAGGAACTAAGGAGAGGCCCCAGCTACGACATCTGTTTTAGGTCTCTCTCCGAGTCTCAGAGCTAAAAGAGAACAAACGGGATAGGGCTGGGATCCAGGACCTTCCCTTTGGAGTCTGAATTTAGACCTGGTCATAGGAAGCAGCATTTTTAGTGCTTGCAGGGTTAGAGGACAGCCCAGAGAAGCCCAGCTGTGAGGAGTATCAACTGCTGTAAAGTACCAACAGCTCCTGGCTATTCCTACCAAGGTCCTCCTCCCTACTGTAACCCTTACGGTAAAGCCATCAAGAGGAGAAATAAACTCAACAGCCTCAAGCCTACTTCCTCTTCTTCCCCCCTTCTCCACTAGCTCCAATGTTTAGTAAGTACCTAACGTCAAAGACGGACCCCACTCCCCTTGCCTGGATGGACCCGCCCCTGTCCACACTCGGAGAGCAAGAGACTGGACTTGTTGGCTTCACTGGATCCCAGATGCTCCAAGTTCTTGTTTCTTTAAGAGTCACTTCCGAAAGCTGTTTTCTGGTATAAACAAAGTGCGCCTTCGCAGTCTCCGGCCTGATCCTTCCTCCAGCAGGTAGGTCACATCGATGGCTGAAACAGAACCAAGGTGTTCATCAAATATCACTCTTCTACACCCCAACCTGGATCTGCACTCTAAGGAGAACTCAAGGACACCATGATTTATTTTTCTGGTCTAAAGCAATTAGGTCTTTCTCTAGCCCTACATTTTGTTTTGACCTACTCCTCCCGCCATCCCCACCTCCACAAAAGAAAAGTGGCTCTCTAGGGTATGGAAGACACCACCTCAGCTCAGCTCACCTCACGCTGGATGGATTTTTTTTTTAAATTTTATTTAACTTTATTTCATGTGAGTTGGTGTAAAGGTGTCAGATTCCCTGGGACTGGAGTTATAGACAGTTGTGAGCTGCCATGTGGGTGCTGGGAATTGAACCCAGATCCTCTGAAAGAGGAGCCAGTGCTCTTAACCTCTGAGCCATCTCTCCAGCCCCATGAAGAAACTTTTAAAAATTGATTTAAGTTTATTTTATGTACACTGGTGTGAAGGTGTCAGATCTCCTGGAACTGGAGTTACAGACAGTTGTGAGTTGTCAAATGTGGGTGTTGGGAATTGAACCTGGGTCCTCTGGAAGAGCAGAGCAGCCATCTCTCCTACCCCCAACAAACCCATTTTCTTACAACACACATGCACGCGCTGCCTTCTCACTCATCTTCAAGCCTAACTATGAGCCCGAGTCTTACCATTTTTCCCAGGGATTTTCTCAAGGAGGTTGAGCAAGATCTGGTTGAGCCGTTCCCGTTGGTTGTGCCTTCGTTCCTCAGGTGTGCTGGGTAACTGGGGCTCTTGATTATTCTCCTCTGGTTTCTTCCCATTGTCAATATCAGTAGTGACTCTCTCCTTTTCTGGCTCCTCAGGGCTGGGCGTCTCACTAGCTGTTTGCTCCTGACTGGCCAGCACCTCTTCAATCAAGGGCAAAGCATCATCTTCTTGCCCTAGGTCTTTTAGGGGAGGCTTTGAGCGGTCAGACTTCCAGGATGATCTGCCAAAAGGATATGCGGCTTCAGGACAAGGCTGAGCAAGGCACTTGGACAGGGAAGGAAAATGAAAGCTAGAGGTCTAAGGACGGCTTGAAATCCTGGGGTCTGTTTATTAGAGCTCTGGCTTGAGCTCAGAAATCTGGATGTTAGCATTGGTACAAACAATTGCTTTTCCCTGAAATGTAATTTTCCCTTTTTATGGAGGTACTTGTGTACGCTAGGTTAGTGTTCTACCCTTAGAAATTAACTTCATTTCCATTTGTGATTAAACCTTTCATCTTGTTCTCAGAAATCTGAAGCAAAAATGAGATAGAAACCTGTAAAACATACCAGGCTGGGGAAGCTGCTGAGCTGTTCTGATTGCTTCATGAACACAAAGGAAGCACAGCCCTGTGACACCCACAGTCCGACCATAACAGTATTAGGAGGGTTTTTACTTCTTTATGTTATCTACTATTTCTTCACTTTTTTTATGCAGAAAGCAATGGGTATTTATTATCTTTCAAATTATGTATATGCATGTGTATGTACATGAGCGCAGGGGCCCATGGAGGCAGGAGAGGGTGCTGGATCCCCTGGAGCAGGCCATGAACATAGGTACAGGGAACACAACTCATGTGCCTTTATAGCACAGGCTCCTAACCACTGAGCCGTTTCTACAGCTCCAGGAGTGGCTATTTATGTTCTTAGCTGACAGAACTAGAAAAGCCTCCATGAGGAACATTCTTCTCATTTACAAAACACGCAAAAATATAAACTGTTAAGTTCAAACTGCTAAGTGCAAACTCTGCAATACTGACTGTTATCTCTTTAATAGAGGCATCAAAAGTTGACACAACACCATCTTATAGAGAAGAGAAAAAGCTCAGTCCAGAAAGAGATTCCAAGTCCATCTGCAGTTCCTTTCTCTTATCTTCACATTACTGTGTACTGCAGCTCCCCTGTTTTGGTGATGGCTGCCCTACAGAGAACAGCTAACCCCAGTAGTGACCAGTGGCTTGCTCTCTTGCTCTATATTAGCTCTTGGCTAACCCTTAGGAGCCCTCACATTCTTCTAGGACTCACCGCCCTCCGTTCCTCTTGTAGTTGTCTGGGACATAATGAGGCTGCAGAAAAGAAAAAGGGGGGGGGGAGTACATTAATGCTGGATCTGATATGGGGACATTAGGGTAATGAGGGCAATTTGGGTGACTTTTTTATTTTTATCTTTTTCTTTATAGTTAGGTTACTAGGATGATGACATCTTCCTTTCTTTTCTTTTTCTTTTTTTTTTCGGAGACAGGGTTTTTCCGTATAACAGCCCTGTCTGTCGTGGAACTCATTCTGTCGACCAGGCTTGCCTTGAACTCACAGAGATCCACCTGCTTCTGTCACCCAAGTGCTGGTATTAAAGGTGTGCACCACAACTACCCAGCAGACATCTTCCTTTCTTGCTTTTTACTGCTGTGAGGCGAATCAGTCTCTGCCACACGCTCCTGGACTGCAGCGGCTACTCTAGGGAAATGTAATCCAGAACAGAGCTTCCCTTCTTTTAAGCAGACCACTGCAGGGAATTTGCCATAGAAGGGAAAGCCAACTGACAGTCTCACTTGAAAAGAAGACACAGAATGAGGGCCTGTTGGCTGGGATTTCATCACAATAAAGAGATAATAATGACCAAAATTCTATATAGTATTGAAGGAAAATTGGTCTGTATTTTCTCTCTCTCTTTTTTTCTCTCTCTCTCTTTTAAAAGGTTTATTTATCTATTATGTATACAGTGTTCTGCCTGCAGGCCAGAAGAGGACACCAGATCTCAGTATAGATGGTTGTAAGCCACCATGTGCGTGCTGGGAATTGAACACAGAATCCCTGGAAGAGCAGCCAGTGCTCTTACCTCTGAGCCATCCCTCCAGCCCCTGGTCTGTATTTTCAACAACTAGAAAAAAAAATACCCAGGGAGGAGATGAGAATGAAAATGCAAACATGAACAAGTACTCATCATCGAGCTGCTTTCCCGATTACATTTAATGATCTTGTCTTACGTTTAAAATTATTTACTTACTTGGTGTGTTATGCTTGGGTGTATGAGCACCACAGCTCATGTGTTAAGGGTTCTCTCCTACTATGTGGGTTGTGGAATCAAACTCGGGCCTTCCTGCTCTGAGGCAAGCACCCTGATCTGCTGAGCCAGTTACTCAACTCCCATGTCTTATGCTCTACCTGTTTTCAGATAAGGTCTCACTATGTAGCTCTAGCTGCCCTGGAATTTGCTACATAGGCCAGGCTGGCCTCAAAATTACAGTGCTCAACTTGTTTCTGCATTCGAAGGGCTAAGATTAATGGCCTATATCTTCACATCCAGCCATGCCTCACATTTTTGATTTATAGATAAAAAAAAAGAAAAAGCATCAAAGGACTTTTTAAGAGCTAGGATTGCTTGGAGCTCAACATAAACCTAGGCAACACAGTGGCTATGAGGCCAACCCTGCAACATACAATCAAAAAGATTACTTTTCAAGGACACTATCCTTCTTATCTATCTATCTATCTATCTATCTATCTATCTATCTATCTATCTATCTATCTATCTATCTATCTATCGGGGGTTTCACTATATAGTCCTAGCTGGTCTAGAACTTATTATGTAGACCAGGTTAGCCTTTAACTCACAGAAATCCACCTGCCTCTGCATCCCAAGTATACCACCACACCTGGCTTTTACAAATTATGACTATGAAGAAAGAAATGTACAGAGAATACTCAGCAGGTAGGAGGAGTAGTCACCATATAAGCATGAAGATCAGAGTTCAAATCCCCAGTCCTCACATAAAAAAGCAAGGTGTATTCCAGTGCTGGGTACTGGGCAAAAGCAAGGGAGTTTACTGGAGTTTGCTGGCTGTCCGTTCCAGGTCCAGTGAGGTTTTAGGATTAGGATGGAGAGCAATGGAACAGGGAAGCTAGTCTCCTGGCTTTCTCACCTGCATTTGTACATGTGTACACTGAGTATACATATTTTTTTTTTTAAAGGAAAGAACAGTGAGGCCTAGTGTCATACCCATGTCATTTCAGGAGGTAAAGGCCAAAGAATTAAAAATTCAATGTCAGCTGAACTAAGCGGTGAGATCCTGCCAAGACAAAAAACACCAGGGAGCCGGTGATGGTGGCGCACGCCTTTAATCCCAGCACTCGGGAGGCTGAGGCAAGCGGATCCCTGTGACCAGCCTGGTCTACAGAGCTAGTTCCAGGACAGGCTCCAAAGCCACAGAGAAACCCTGTCTCAAAAAACCAAAAAAACAAATACAAAAACAAAAAAAAGATAAAAACCCAAAGACGACTTACTGAGAAATCTCTTTTGGGAGTGAGTTTCTTGGGGAAATGATCAAAGGCATAGGGTTTGGTGCAGACAGGGTATCGGTTCCGATGGGTTTTGTAAAATAGGTGTGCTGACTTGTCAAGCCGATAGTCACAGATGTAGACGTCTTGTTCCTTGACTCCTTTAGGTCTCCCTGTAAAACCAAACATGGTTAGAGGATCTGCCTTCTCAGGCCAGAGAGATGGCTCAGTTGCTAAGAGTACACGCTGCTTTTACAGAGGACCAGAGTTTGGGTCCCAGTACCCAGGGTGAGAGGGCTCATAATTGTCTGTCATTGCAGCTCCAGGGGATTTTACACTCTCTCTTTGGCCTCTGAAGGCATCAGTCCTCACACAAAGATACCTACACATAGCCACATTATTAAAAATAAAATAGATCTAGGCCCGAGAGTGGTGGTGCACACCTTCAGCAAGGCAAGATCTCCGAGTTCAAGGCCAGAAAGGTCTGGTCTACATAGAAAAACCCCATTTCAAAAACAACCACAAAACAACAACAACAAGATCTGAAACAAAGATCAGTAAATCTGATTTTCCTTTGTTCCCAGAGGAGCCTGGTGGACAACTATCTCTGAGGGAGAAGGCACGGCAGTCATTAGGAAAGGCCGGAGAGCCAGCATTTGGTGGCTGTGGAAGGAGGAGATGGAACACAGCAGTGGACTTGAAATAACAATGTAAAAACTCAGAAATGCAGACTGAATGTTGCAGGAAATTTTGAGGGACAGAATGGCTCATGGGGAATCATGAGAAAGGAAGAGTTATAAACAGGAGGAAGCACACCAGAACACTAACCCTATATTAAGTGGAGAAGTGATGGTCACAGAGCTGTAAGAAGTTTGTCTGTATGGAACACAATACTTACTCTTGTTAAGTTTTTGCTATGATAATGAAATAAAGATAAAGGTTACAAAATTCTTGCCAATTATGGCAACAAACACACATCGAGCTAGCCATAAACTAGAGCTTTGTGTATTATTTAATCTTTGTAAAACTCAAAAAAATCTGGTTTTAAATTAAGGATACTTATGCTTGGTTAAGTATGTAAGTAGTTAAATGTGATGCAGTTGGATTTTGAAATTGGCTCAATATTTTAAAATGTTGGGGCGGTGGTGCGGGGAATGGGAGGTTGGGGGTGGTGGCGGCGAAGGTGCATGTTTTTTAACCCAGCACTTGGGAGGTAGAGCCAGATGGAATTCTGAGTTCGAGGCCAGCTTGGTGAGTACTAAGTACTAAGCCAGCCAGGGATACACAGAGAAACCCTGTTTGAAACGAAAAAGTTGGGCCCAAGTGATGGCCAACAAGCCTGATGACCTGAGTTCAATCCCCAAACTCCCTTGGGAGGAAAAAGGTGTTGGCATTATGAATATTTAAGTTCTGAGCACTCAATAAAAGAAAAAGGATTCTCTCGGGGAATAGATGGCTATGGTGGTTTACATACACCTGTAATCTCAGGCAGCTGGATTTGACTTTGGAATTGAAGTCCGCTTAGTATGCACAGTGAATTCCAGGCAAGGGCAGCTTAGTAAGGTCTTGTTGCAAAGTGAATGAATAAATGAGTAAGAAAATATATGCGAATGTTCTGCCTAAATATATATATGCATGTGTACCATGTGTACGCTTGGTGCCCATAGAAGCCAGAAGAAAGTGCTGGGTCCCCTAGAACTGGAGTTACAGATGGTTCTGAGCTGCCATGTGGGTTCTGGGAACTGAACTTGGGTCCTCTGCAAGAGCAGCCAGTGCTCTTAACTGCTGAGCTCTCTCTCCAGTCCCAAAGACCACCTCTCAACAAGCCTTCATCATTTACCTTTACAATATGTATAAAGGTCCAACACACAGCAGGTCCCAACTACAGCCTCCAAGGGAATGATCTCATAGAGTGGCACCCGAAATAGCTCATTGTGATAGAACCGACGGGATGGAGAGTGGTGGGTTTCATGGGGGCGGAAATAATGGTGACCAAAGGCAAACCGTTCCTCTCTTAAAAAAAAAAAAAAGAAAAAAAAAAAGAAAAAAAAGAAAAAAAAAGGGAAAATGAGAAAGGAGAGGTTAAGTCTACTAGTAAGACTCCAGCGCACACTCCACTCTGCTGGGAGGACACAGCTGGAGGAAGAGAGGACCCAGCACATACTTCTCATTCTTCCAAAGCTTTTCAATTCTAAAGATGTCAAGTTTATCTCGGTTAATGTGTGATAACAGTCTGTAGGACTGACGGACTGGATGGCCATCAGGTGTGCGTCGACTGTCCCTCATCAGGTACACACAATCACCTAGGAATGTACAGAACAAAGGAGAGAACATTAATATTAACCCTGAATGTGTTCCATAAGGCATCCTTTTATCTGATCCAGCGTCTACAACAATACGTAGGGAGCAGGCAGACAGCCCAGTCATTAAATGAACAAGCACTAGAGAAAGTAAAACCAGCAACCTTCCCTATAATGACAATTCTAAGTACAGAAGGTTCTCTATTTTTTTGTTTTCCTTTACTATGTTTACTATTTTTTTTTTAATTTGTTTTTGAGACAGATCTTCCTATGTAGCCCTGCATGGCCCGGAAGTCATTAAGTAAACCAGTCAGGCCTCAAATTCAAAGATCTGCTCTGTCTACAGATGGGATTAAAGATATTATGCTACTATATCTGGCCTACTAGGTTTAAAATTACAATAAAGACCTTGGATATAACATGCTATTCGACTAGCATGTCAATCACCAGCACAGAAACAAACAAGCAAATAGAGAAAATAAAACTAGTATAAATCAGACAGAGTAACTAATGCCTATTATCCCAGAACTTTGGAGGCAGAGGTAGGAGGACAGCTGGGAATTTGAGGCTTTACCTAAACTATTGTTTGGAAAAACAAAACAAAACAAAAAACAACCAACCAACCAAAAACAACAACAAAACAAGACACAAAGAACAATAAAAACAACACAATCAAGGAAACAAATAAACAAAAGGTACCAAACCACTGGGTGTGGTGGCACACACCTTTAATCCCAGCAATGAGGAGGCAGAGGCAGGCAGATCTCTGTGAGTTCGAGGCCAGCATGGTCTAAAGAGCTAGTTCCAGGACAGGCTCCAAAGCTACAGAGAAACCCTGTCCCAAAAAAACAAAACAAACAAACAAACAAATAAATGAATGAATGAATAAATAAATAAATAAAATTACCTTTGTAAAGCTATTTCTACAAGTTAGCATATACTGAAAGTGGGGTAATGATAAGGCCATGCACAGAGCATATATTTCCCACTACTCAGAAAGATCAGTGGAATTTGGGCCTGTGAACTTACCCTGACGAAGCAGCAAGTCATCTCGAAGTAAACAGATGAAGTAGACACAGCCAGGTTGGGCATAATGGGGCCGAGGGATCATGGGTACCTCCTGAAGAGCAGAAAGTCAATGCAGAAAGGCTAGAATTATTACACTTTGTCTGATGATCTCAATTTAAGAGAGGAAAAGAACTAAAACTTAAAATTTCCATTCAAGAGTTACTAAAGTCATTTTAACAAACTATAAATATGAAAACCACTAGCTTTTAAATCCATAGAAACGACAGTAGATGACGAGGCTGGCAGGCCCAGGACCTGAGAGGATGCTTTATGAAGCATTAGCTCTGAGACTACTCTGTGCAATGGCAGCGACATCTGAAAATGTGTGGAATGGTGACTTTCATGACAGTCGTGTTGGAGGCTACTTACAGCTATTTAGTGTCCAAGGCCAGGGAAGTTGAACCTCCTAAACTGCATCCCTCACAATATCAAACTGTCCAGCTGAATATGACAATAGCACCATGGTTAAGACACTCTGCCTAACCAGGCGGAGCTGGCCACACCTTTAATCCTAGAACTTGGGAGACAGAGGCAGGTGGATCTCTGTGTGTTTGAGGCCATCCTGGTCTACAGAGTGAGTTCCAGAACAGCCTGGGCAGTTACACAGAGAAACCCTGTTTCGAAAAACAAAATCAAACAAACAACCCTACACCCCGAAAAATAAAGAAGTACTGCCTAAATCCTTTTCATGAAGGTGACTTAACTGATCATAATACACACTTACTGACTGTGTGTGAACAGATGTATGTGTATGTTACACACTTGCTTGCCACAGCACTTGTATGTAGGTCAGAGGACAGTTTGCAGAAATCGGTTTTCTCTTTCCACCATGTGGATCCCGGGGATGTAACTGAGGCTGACAAGCTTTTATCCACTTGAGACAACCTGGCAGCCCAAGATCACACATACAAATATAGACATACCAAGAAAAGAGTTCATCCAACTTGGTCAAGTCACTGACTCTTACTTCTGGAAATAACTCTGAATCAAGGGTTGTTTCCAACAACACACTACCTGATGCAAACAGCACTTAGAACTCTGTCTCTACTACTGAGAGACTAAGGCAAGACAATAGTGAATTTGGAGCTAGCTTGGGCTGTACAATGAGCTCTTAACTCAAAAACAAAACAAAAAACAAAGCAAAACAAGAAGAATCTTAGTTTTATATAGTACCATTTCTTTTCCTTTTTTTTCTTCTTCCTCCTTTTTTTTTCTTTTTCTTTTTTCTTCCCCCCCCCCCCCCCCCCCAAGACAGGGTTTCTCTGTGTATCCCTGGCTGTCCTGGAACTCTACAGATCAGACTGGCCTCAAAATCAGATCTGCCTGCCTCTGCCTCACCATTGCTGGGATTAAAGACACGCACCAGCACCACTCAGCTTTATACAGTATCATTTCTTTCAGAGATCCTAAGCATCCTATTTCCTTTTGGTCACACTCCTGAGAAAAGCAAGGGCAAGAATTCCCACCCTTAGTGTCAAGCTGAGGCATGGAGAGCCTGAGCAATTCTGCATAGGAGGATCACACACTATCTATGTGATCTAACTAGATCAGCTTACCCTGTCCACAGGCCGAGGGTCACACTGCTCACAAAGGTAGTGCTCCACATCTGTGTTCACACCCATGCAGTCACAGTGCTGCCACACCTATGAACACAGGCACACTTGACAAGGGGATTTACACTTAGTGAGAGAAGCCCTGAGAATAATGATAGTGATAAAAATAAAGCAACAGGACGGGGCAAAGTAGAAGAATTAAGCCATAAGCGGATGAGGGAAAATCAGAAATAAATGATAAGAGGGGAAAACAATGTCTGAATAAAAGTATATACATCAATTCTTTTTTTCACCCCAGACAGGGTTTCTCTGTCTAACTGCCCTGGTTGTCCTGGAACTCGCTCTGTAGAGCAGGCTGGCCTTGAACTCACAGAGATCCACCTGTCTCTATTTCCTAAGTGCTGGGATTAAGGGAATGCACCACCACCATCTGGCCATCAAGTCTAATACATAGATTTGGACAAATAAAATGGGAGATGAGGAGAGAAAATGAAGATGAATGTACTGCCAAACTATCACTTGCTATGTAACGCTATTAATGCTTCAGCTACTGTGAAGGCTGAAGGCTTTATACTCCTGACGCTTACCTGACTTTAGCCTCTTAACAAACTTACATACTATCCATAGCCCCATGAGCAAACAGACTAACAAGTACACAGGTATGGAGAACACTACACACTGAATCCAGGTTAGACTCTTCCAGTATGGGTCGTTTGTGAGTGAACTTATATACACTGGAATAGACTTGTACTCATGCTCTATACTGTGTGCTGTCGTTCATGGTTTTCAAGGTAAAGCACTATAGCAAGCACTACTTTCCTAGGTGCAGATTTTGTGAGAAAAATACAGTTAAAATGGGCAGAAAGAAGAGGAAAGGAAGACGTAAATGAAAGATAAGAAGGGAGAAAGACTATACGATGACTAGTAGAGGATGAACAAAAGCTGCACTAAATTACGGTTCAGAAAAAGCCTGGCATGTCCACTCCAAGGAAGAGGAGGTTGCTTTTCTGAATGTGGCCACCATGCACATCAGGACCAGGCTTTGCATCACCTTCAACACTCACCATGCATTTGTCACACTGGATCATAAGGCCTTCATCCTTGTAGAGGCCACAGATGCACCGGATGACATCATCGTCCTTTTCATGCCCGGTCTCCTTTTCAGAGACGGAGGTCTCACTGCTGTCCGCCTCACTTGCTGTTTCTCCCACAATCTCATCAATTTGCGCTGATGCCTCATGCCGGGCACTGTAATAGGCCTTTCGTAAGCGGCAAACATCTCTCCCAATTGGAGATTTACGACCATAGTACTTCTGGAAAAAGCAAAAGAAAAAAAATCATTTTTGTCCTTCTCATTTTTTACCTGTAGAGGGTGCATGGTTTTCTATATTCTCCCATTCTGGCTAACAAATTGAACTATAATGAATTAAAATTAGTATTTAGACGGTATATTTTCCATTTTTAAAATTTCTTTGCTAGTGAATTCCTGTCAAGAGCCTTACTATCCATAAGATCAAACACAGTGATCATTAAATTTTAATTAGTGCTGCAAGCATATTGTAGAAATCTTCCATTTACTTTTGTTTTGCAAATGCTTGGAGCACATAGTAAATGTCTGTGGAAGCTGGGTTCTAATAGAAACTATGTTCTAATTCAAGACTGCTCTAAATTATTCTTCTACTTCTTAATTTCCTGCTCTTATTTTGTCTTTCAGTCTCTACCCCAATAACCCACTCTGTTCCCCACGGTATTTCAAAGTCATAGGAGAACTGCCTTTTTAAAGCTAGTACATAGTATTTCCTTCATAGCAGGGTCTTATTATATAGCCAGGTCTGGGCTCAGACTTGGTCTTTCAAGTGCCAGGATTACAGGAATGAGCCACCATGCTTAGCCTCAAATGTAATTATTTTCAAGAACAAAAAAATGACAGATACACAATAAATGGGTAAAAATATTTATGTAATAGAAAAGTTCAGAAAAAAATTAGTATTTTATAAAGACTATATTGCTTTTGAGAAATGACTCAATCTTGCATTCCATAATTTTCTTTGTGTGTGTGTGTGTGTGTGTGTGTGTGTGTGCGCGCGCGCGCGCGCGCATGCGCGCATGTGCGTGTGCATGCACACCGATGCATGTATGTATGCCTACCTGCCTGCGTAAGCCACAGAATGAGCTTAGGTGTCATCCTGAGGAACCCTGTCCACCTTCTTTTGACTTGAAGTTAACCAGTTAAAATGGTTGGCCAGTGGGCCCCAGGATCCTCCTGTCTCTATCTCCTCAACTTTAGAATTGTAAGGGCATACCATCACACCTGGCTTTTCTTTTTAAATAGGGTCTCATTATGTAGCCTTGGCTGGCTTAAAACTCAAACTATAGCCAGGCAGTGGTGACACACACCTTTAATCCCAAGATTTAGGAGGCCGAGAGAGGCAGATCTCTGTGAGTTCGAGGCCAGCCAGGTCTACAGATTGAGTTCCAGGACAGGCTCCAAAGCTACAGAGAAACCCTGTCTCGAAAAACAAACCTCAAGCTATAGGCCAGGCTGGCATCAAACCCACAGGATTTTCCTTGCCTTTGCCTCACTCATGCTGGGATTAAAGGTATGAGACTGTATCTGACCACACCCGGTATTTTCATCTATGTTTTGGGAATCCCAATGCTTGTATAGTGTAAATATGTTTACTGAGTTAATTTTTTTTTCTTTCTTTCTTTATTTATTTATTAAATATTTCAGTCTCTTCCCCACCTCCGCCTCCCCTGAGTTAATTTTTTAATTAAAAATTGTTATTGTCATATAGGCACATATATGCCATGGCATGCATATAGGTCAGATAATGACTTAGCAGGATGAGTCCTTTTCTTCCAACACTACACTGTGGGTTCTGGGAACAAAGTCAGGTTACCTGAAGAGTCATCTTCCTGACTGAGAATCCACCCCACCAGCCCTGCCAGAGACAGGAACATACTGTAAGGAACTCTATGTAGCCCAGGCTATCTCTGAACTCACAGAGAGCTACCTGCATCTGCCACCCAAGTGCTGGGAGTGAAGTTATACATTGCTATACTTGATTAGAGTATTTTTTAAGATTTATTTTTATGTGTATTAGTGTTTTTCCTGCATGTATATCTATTTGTGTTAGGGTGCCAGATCCCCCTAGAACTGGAGTTACAGACAGCTGTGAGCTGCCATGTGGGTGTGGGAACTGAATGCAGGGTCCTCTTGAAGAGCAATCAGTGCTCTTAATCACAGAGTCATCTCTCCAACCTGGCTAGAATAGTTTTAACAAACAGAACTTCACATTATTTAGCATAATGTAATGCATATTCTAAAAAAACTTGTTTTGGGTCTGGAGAAATGGTTCAGTAATTCACAGTATTGGTTGCTCTTGCATAGAAAGTTCAGTTGCCAGCATTCACAACATGGCGCACAACAATCTCCAACTCCAGTTCTGGCCTAAGTGGACATTGCATACATGTAGGCAAAACAAAGATAAAAAAATTAAAACAAAATTACTGTCAAGTCGATAAGATGGCTAAGGTAAGGGTGCTGCGGCTAAGCCTGACAAGCTGAGTTTGAGCCTTGGGACTCACATGCCAGGAGGAAGGGAGCTTATGCCTCTGCTTGCTGTTGTGCCAAGTAAGTTCTCACAAATAAACAAATGTACTGATTAAAAGAACATTATGCCAGGTGTGGTGGCGCACTCCTTTAATCCCAGCACGTGGAGGCAGAGACAGTAGGACCTCTGTGAGTTCAAGGCCAGTCTGGTCTACAAAGCAAGTACCAAGACAGCTAGGACTGTTACACAGAGAAACTCTTGTCTTGAAAAACCAAAAAAGAAAGTTATTGTCTTTCCCAAAAAGAAACTTTTAAAATAGCTCTCTTCAGATCAAACTTCTTAATTTTGTGTTTGAAGGTAGGAAATACCTCAGCATTTCGAAAGACCTTGAGCATGTCAGCATCAAAAGCGTCCACTGTTTTATAATACCCAGTGAGGATCTGCTTCTCTATGGTGCTGAGGTCCAGGGGGTCAGAGATCTTCTCATAATAGTCAGCATTCCTGGAACACAAGCAGGTGTCATTCTAGGGCACTACCTTCTTAACTGAGCTCTATAAGGCTATCACAAATGTATACCTACTTTTTCTTTGGGGGAAGATTCAAAAGCGGAGCTGCAAGGGCTTGTTGTGAAGAATCTGTAAAAGAGTACAAGGTTTAATACACAAATGCTAAAAGACAAGCACGGACATTAGCCAGACAGCCTGCCTGCCTCTTCCTCCTTTTCTTCTATTTGAGATGGAGGTCTTGTTTTGTTGTTTAAACTGGTCTAGAACTCATGGGTAGCTAGAATTACAACCACCTACCAGTACACTTGGCTTGTACTATTTTATTAAAATTTATTTTTCTTGGTCAGATGTAATGGTCCATATCTGTAATCCCAGCACCTGGTACCATAGGCTGAGGATGGCATGAGTTTGGCTGGATTATACTATTTGTTTTTCTTTTTTAAAAGGGGACCTGGGGATAGAACTCAGAGCGTTGAACATGCTAGGGGAGTTGTTTTTCAATAAAGAACAGTCCCAGCCTATAAACATTCATCCTTTTTCTTTCTGGAGCTTTTAGTTATTTGCATTTTATATGTCTGCATCTGCCAGACTGTTGTACTCCACACCTATGTAGCACCGTTGGGAAACAGAATAGAGCACTGGATTTCCTGAGATTAGTTACAGACAGTGGTGAAATGCCATGTGGGTGCTGGAAACTAAACCTGAGCCTTGTCAAAGAGCAGCCACCGCTCTTAACTACTGTGCCATCTCTCCATCCTGTAGGCCCATATTTCTACATGGTACGGTGACCAGAATCCCAGGCCACAGCTTGCACCTGCTGCCCAGATGGTCAGTCAGCTACGTGGCCAAGCCTGTCACCATTCCTAACAAAGGGTCAGGATGTTGTTCTGCTCCTTCTTTGTAATCTGGAGGTCGCCTGGGATAGAGATGCTAATTCAGCCTATGTGACAGGGCTGGCATACAGAGCAGGAAGAAAGGAAGACATGACAGAATGGGCACAGAAAGATGTGAACGTGACTACTTAGGAAACAGAATGCTAATGAATTTCCCCCTCAGTTTATGTTTTGGTATATAAGGCTGCTTGGAAAAGAAACGAAGGAATTTTCAGGATGTGAACTCAGGATTTAGTGAGGGATCTCTGAGAATCTCCCTCCTGATAAAGCCATGTGAGTTGTGTCTTTATTCCCATGCCTCCCCTATGGAGACACCATCCCCACATTATCCTTTAAAAAATTATTAGCCGGGGGCTGGAGAGATGGCTCAGAGGTTAAGAGCATTGCCTGCTCTTCCAAAGGTCCTGAGTTCAATTCCCAGCAACCACATGGTGGCTCACAACCATCTGTGATGGGGTCTGGTGCCGTCTTCTGGCCTGCAGGCATACACACAGACAGAATATCGTATACATAATAAATAAATAAATATTAAAAAAACCAAACCAAAACAACAACAAAAAAAATTATTAGCAGGGTGGTGGTAGCGCACACCTTTAATCCCAGCACTCGGGAGGCAGAGGCAGATGGATCTCTGTGAATTTGAAGCCAGCCTGGTCTACAAGAGCTAGTTCCAGGACAGGCTCCAAAGCCACAGAGAAACCCTGTCTCGAATTCCCGCCCCTCCCCCCCCAAAAAAA